ATACCCTGGGTATCTCAAGGCATCGATTATATAGCCGTTCGGGTGGCCCACGGTATACCAGCTAGTATAAGCCCAAGCGATTGAGGCCTAGCTAATCTAAGCAGACCGCGTCAAACGCTAAGGCCGGGGGTCGCCACGACCCCTCCATCTGCCTCAGCCGCACGCCGCATGAGGACTCACGACCACACTCCACCGACCTAGCCCTTGGGAGGAACAGGGAGAGATCGAGTCTAGCCAAGCGTGCCTGCTTTGGCAGGAGCAGGCGTCACCTTGGTTCGGTCCGACGCCATCCCTGCGCCACGCAGCAGAGAAAAGACAACACCGTCGGCGGTGACGGTAGGTACGAATAACCACCATCCAAATATGGCCCAACAAGACGTATGTACGATCCCACCCACAATGGGATGGGATCCACGACGATGGCCTTGACTTTGAGGCCATCCAAACCAACACGGGCCACGACCTCAGAGCTCGGGATCATGGCCACCAACTCCACAAGCAGCAAGACGATCGATGATCCGAGGGCTGCTACCTACTCTTGTACGGTGCCCCAGACGATCAGGAGGCGATAACGAAGACCACGGCAAGACCACGTCACGCAGGACGGTTGGCGAAACACCACCGTGCCCACAGTACCTTCATGACAGGCACTATGGCACCATGTCAAGCCATGCTGCGACATGTGCACAAGACCATGATGATAGCCACTCCAAGGTGTACACCACAAGACGACGTTGCTTGCAAGCCAAGTTAGCTAGGCCTCCTCCCTTAGGCTCATGACCTTTCGGTCGGGAGAACTTCCTTCTTTGTAACCTAGCTCCAGACTCTATATAAGGGAAGCCAGGGCCTCCTTTTGGGGCTCTCACTCAGATCCAATCATTCTCATTCTCACCGAGCTCTCGAAGCTTTCCTTCAGGTAGCCCTTCTCCTAGCTCTAGCTCTCCTACCTCTTCCACCATTCTTGCACCCCCCATTGTAAGAAGTTCAGAGCATTCAAACGAGGAACACGCACTCGATCATCTCTAAGACTAGACATAGGGCTCTAGCCTGAACTAGTATAAATCCTCTTGTCTTTTCAATGCTACCATCATCTTCCTAGAGCAGCATGGCATTCATATAAATTTACTAGTCTGGTTTACAAACCACCAAAAGGTAATAATAACAACTACTCTAGAATGTAAGGTGTGTTTCACATATCGAAGATATGATTTATGCTGATTTATGTTCCAAAATGTAAGGTGTTTTAATATTGTTGTAAGTCAGACTTCCCTTTAGCATAGATCAAGTTTAATAGAAAATGCATACCACATCCAATTAGTTTCTAAATCCACCATGAAATATGTCTTGATAGATGCTATCCTCTCCTTTCCAAATCATAGTTCATTTTGACTTTGTCCTTGGTCAAACTTCTCTAATTTTGGCCTATTTTATAAAAAAATGCAACAACATCTGCAACATCAATTAGTTTTACTAAATTCTCCTAAAAATATGTTTCAATAGTTCATTACTTTCAACTCATATATTCTCTAAAAGATTGGTCAAATTTATGTGAGTTAGAACAAACTGAATGTGAACTATAATTTGGAATGATTAAAAATTGGACCTAGTTAGTGAAATTTGATGTGTGAAACTAAAACACAACTTACATTTGCAAAAGATGGAAGTACTAACTAGAAATTATTACTAGCTAGAATCAAACTTCTGCTACATGGATCATGTGCCCATGTCCGTATTTAAGTATGATATTGGTGATTTAGTTGATAATCCAATCACTGGGACTAACATGTGTGCTATGATAAATACCCTTGTAACCTAATCCTCTGGAAACAACGGTAGTAGCATACAAACATGCAAATATTGTGACAGGAGCAGGGTGGTCAAATCATCTGAGGTACATAAACTGTCTGTGTCAATGTTATAGTTAGGCATGTTATAATAGATCCTAGGGATGGAAGGGAAGAAGTGGCATGGAGATTGGCCAACAAACACAATCAAAATGATGAATTCAGATAGATAAGACATCACTGGACATTTTACACCTTACCAAAATGAGTATGTTGGACAAATCATAGTATCATTTGTCCAGTGGCTCTACTGCATGCACTATTCAATTGAATAGACCAATTGACCCAACAAAGAAGAAGGGGGGAGCACAACACAAATGAGTCATGACTAGCTAGATATATAATTGGCTGAAAGTAAGCATCATTTGACCATACATTACGATATGGCATTGCGCAATTGCATGGGATGGACAATCTTGCGAGAGCAAGAGTTCAAGCATCGGATAGTATTATTTTAGCAAGCTGCAATGGCCACTTCCACTATAATAAATGATCTGATGGCCAAGTCACAAGACCGTCAAGCCAGTTGCTCTTCGGTAGTACTTTGTCGATGGGTAGTTTGGGGTCAGCCGAGTATATATAAGAGTTCCTACTCACTTGGCATGGAAGGAATTGTCCCAGGGATGCTAGAAGCTAGATCAAGTGTTTCTACATTCCATCCATCCTATCAAGTGCATATCTATCACATCCAAGGCATGGTAGGAATTAGTGTTCATCTTTCTGAGGGATAGACCTTAGATCTGGAGGCATTGAGTGTTGTAATTTTGATGAGCTAGAGGAATTGATGTCTTGGTGACTTTGCGACATCGACCCTTCATTCTTGGTGTGGAGTGGTAACAACTTGGTGTGCAGGAACAAGCCTTTTTTCTAGGTAGAGAAGCTCCATAGTGAACTACGCCAAAGCGAGTGAAGGCAACGAGTAATGGTGGTGAGACTTAGTGGCTATTAGCACTTTTCCTTGGTTATGCAAGCCTTTGTGTCAAGATCAACACTATGACTCTGATTTTGACGTTCTACATGTACACTAGGAATGCAAATGGGCTAGCCAATGAACCCACATATAGGATTGATTTTGTGATTTGCTCGTGGCAGCATGCAAAATTAAGCCTAAATGTGTGTTCGTAGGCTATCCCACTTGCATCCCTAATGTGCACATAGAGCTAAGGAGAGAATCTTTCCAGTGGAACAAGTCTCATGTCAAAATTCCATGAATCAACGGAAATCATCGAAACAAGTGGACATGCATATGTTGTCATGGTGTTCTGTCATTGTCTTTTGGGTCGTTGAGCTAGTGTCTTGTGTCGTAGTCCATTAGCAACATGTACATGGGTCGCTAGTCAAACCTAATAGCTTATATTTGGTAGCCGCCACTTGAGTTTGGGTTTTGGCTCTTGCTTAGATTAATCTATCATTGAACAGTTTCACTGTTCTCGGTTTGTGAGACCCCATCTTCAAGTGCTCAATCTTTTTCAGCAATTCATAGGAAGAGAGCGAATTAGCCTTCATGGTGAGGTCATCCTCACAATGGATTATTGATAAATAGAGAGGCGTGGTGTGGCGATTGTAGTGTCAGGGTCTTGTTGATCAGAACTTGGATCATGTGTGTCAATTCTCCACCTAACAAAAGTTTGGGCTTCCCTGTTTGCGAGCTGAAATGCTCCTCATCCTAGGTAGAGGCGGTTTCTTATGTGGACCGTCTCTATACGAAATCGGAGCTGTTTGTAAAAATGATATGTGTAGTAGTGAAAATGCAATTTAAGATTGGAACCAATTCAAATTTTCTTTAATTGGCAGTATTTTTTTATAGTTGGTTGAACTTAAAATTGTTGACTCCTCAAAAACTGAAAATTATATCTTTTTAGAACAGATGAAGTAGCGTTTTATTAGCACAAATGGATAAGTAATTGGTGATCACCAGAACTTATGCTTTAAAATGAAGAGGGTGGCCCAGCCCTACGGCCTCTTTGGCGAAGCAACCCACTTATTTAGCTGGCGATTGTAGGTCAGCCAAGTTGAGATGCTGAATGGGGTGGCCCAGTAGTGGCTTAGCCTTGGCAGGAGAAAACTGACAATTTCTGTGGTCTGAATCCCCAAATGTGTCGCTGCACCTGGAGCCTTGTGACAGCGTGGAAAACCAAACTGGGGGAAGCCGAAGCTAGAGAACCGAATCGGACTGACAAAACTACTACTCCTCTGTCCTAGATTATGCTATTTTAACATTTTTTTGAAAGTCAAAACATCTTAAATTTAACCAAATTTATATAATTAAATAATAACATTCATAATACTAAATAAGTATTATTAGATTCTTCATCATTAATTATATATAGTATTACCTATTAGATGTCATGAATCTTTGTCATTCTCTTGATAATTTTAGTCAAACTTGAGATGTTTTGACTCTCCAAAAAAGTTAGAACGACTTATAACTTAGGACGGAGAGAGTAGCTTGCTGCAAGTGCAAGCTGATTAGCTAAAGAAGAGATGGTTGCCCAATGTTCTGGATTTAAAGGAACCTGCAACGTTTATTTTCCAATATGAAAATTTTAATTGCTATACTAACTTTCGGCAAATTGTGACTGCCATAGAAAATGTGGCGAACCAAATTGAAGCCACACTTGTGTCAAAGTTTGGTACAAAAATGAGTTCATGATATGTGGGATAGAGGGCTAAGAAAGTATGACGCGCTATAGTTATGACAATGAATCAAACAACTGTCGGAAAAAACTATAGCATGACTATCTTTAGCGTGGCGAGTTTTGATCACCAACCAAATAGGCCCTAAAGTGAGACGTCATTCTTGAGAGACGAAAAAGACAAGCGTCTCTGATTTTCTAGGGTATGGTACTATAAGAAAGGATGATAAAGGATTATTTGCGCCTTCATGTCGTTATTTGTACTATAAGTCTGTAACTGACACGAGAGTAGCTGGCGAAGCTAATGAAAATCAAGTGGCGGGAGGTTCGTTCAGATTAATTTGGACACCCAGACTGAAGAACGAAGATGATATATAACTGAAGGTGACGAGACTGCTGCTGGCGAAACAACTAATTCGCTGCATTGTTGCCCAAGGTAATTAACTAATCTTGACTGTGTTGTCGCCTGAATTCTTGTCGTCAAAGATGAATCAACAAGGGGCGAATAATGTGTATCCTTTTACTGTTGCGGGTCACTGACTGTGGATGTTGCCGTGGTCCTTGTTGCTAGCGTAGCCATGGTAACCCGGAGATAAAAAGGAGAATCAGATTCAATTCGTTGCCCTAAAGAAAAAAAAAAACAGGAGTTGCTGATCAATAACCGGATCTTCAAAAACCAAGTCTTGCTTGAGGTGAAATACTATTAAATCTTGATATATTAACAAACACGTGCCCAATTGGCTAATGCGCATTGATTAATTTTTGCATCCTAAAACGGAGAGGGTGATTATAATTTGCTTAACAAGATTTAATAGTGTTTGCTTGGGCTAAATACAGGGTGCCCAATCACCAAAGAGGCCTTTGCTTGGGTTGACCAAAGATGACTTTGCTTGCACTGGGCTGATGAGAGTGTGTTTCGATGCAGCCCCCTGGGCCAATTTTGCCTGAAAATTTTGCAGCCTGTAGTCTACCTGGAAAGTATTTGCTTGGAGCTAGCAGTCCTGAGCTCCTGGCTGCTGCTTGCTGTTGTCGGGCTCTAGCTAATCACCGTGACTCTCTAGGGCGCCACGGCTCTCCTTTCTCGATCAGGCAGTAAGTTTCAACCAAACAAGCAGCATCTTTTTCTCCACGCAAAAGATTCAGGGTTGCAACCAAACATACCCTGAATACCCAAATGACTCTTCCCCCCCTAGTTGCACCTTCGCGTACCGGGCTTCTTGTGCTGAAATGGGGTGGAGGTTACCTTGGACGACCTTCTTGATTTGTTTGGATTGGAATTCAGCATTGATCTCTTGAACACTTCCAATAGCTTGCTGTAGCTGCAGGTGAATAATATTGGCTTGTAAGAATAATCCTGAATGCATGGCGTTTTGTAATTGGCACTTGTTTCCTTAATCTTCTGCATGCACGTTTAATTGCATGTGGCTAAGGGTAGTCCTAACCTAGAAACTAGCATAGTTTCTATGTTTACTAATTAGGGTGTCAACTAAGTAAAATAGTGATGTGGCACTATATAATTAATGAAGAGACATGAGAAAATGGTTTCTTAGGCCCTCTTTATTATGACTTCTAGAGGGGCTCCACCTGTGGCTTCTTAGGGAAGGCCTGCGAAACAGTCACAAGCAAAACAGCCTCTAAAGCTAAAACCTTGCAAAGTGATGAAACCCAAACCGTTTTAGCCTAAAAGCTGAAGCCAGAAAATGTGGCTTTACTGGCTTCACCATTTTTAGAGAAGCCAAAACCCTGCCAAAGAGGACCTTAGATAAGAAATCATATTTCCAGTGGAACCAAGATATAAAGAGATGTGATAGATAGATAATAGGAGAGAAAAGACACAAGATTGGATAAAAAAATATTTTCATGAAACCATCCGATAGGAATATGATTTTTATGTATAGTGTCTATACATGACTGACAAGTATACAAACTACCTTATAGTTTCTCGTTTAGGACTGTCCTAACCAAATGAAGTGGGTATAAAAAGGACAACTAATGCGACGACTTAATTAACACAAGAGGCGTCCAAGTTTTTCTTCTCCATAAAGATCATCTGTCTAAGTTTTTTATAAAAAGATTGAAATCTTTTAGACAGAATGAAGGAGTACAATAATTACTAGTAGTAAATTTATGTTAATGCCAAAAATGCTAATTACTTTTGTAATGGCAATAGGAATGATATTAACTCACAGTTGCCTACATGAGAGTTGAGAGATTGAGATCGAAATTTCCACACAGTGTTTTCTCTCACACCAAACCAGCCAGCAGTAAATTGTCACTGGCCTCCCGATAATGTCACTGGCATATAAAGTACATGCCTAGAAAATCTGAGTACACAGCACAAGCATGATGGAATAATGAGGAATATAATGTCATTTTGATTACCCATTCATCAACTACAAGCAAAAATATCAAGAACACTGAAAAGGAAACTCTCAAGGGGACGATGCATTCAGATAATAATATACATCAATGTGGGTGGAGAGAGAGAGAGATGATCGGGGCAACACATTAGTACACACACTGACATAAGATCTGGACTTAACAATCTACTCATCAAGTGTTCGTGCTTCCTAGCACATAACTTGAATCATAATACACACCAGGCTAGCTGATGATTAAGTTGATCTCGAAACCTGGGAAAAGGAGAAAACAGATTTTAGTTACATAACGTTGTAAATAATGTCATAACAACTGACAGCATATAATACAACTCATATGCATCTGCTGGACTGCTGGTTCACCTACCAGGTAGTAGCATTCCCCCATCTGCAAGCTCTTCATGAGGATGCCGTTCTCGTTCACCGGTAGGATCTCGCCGGAGGAGTGAACCAGCATCGCGTGATGCCCAAACGTGCCAGCGAAGTCCAACAATGCCCCACCGCCTGGCACCTCGTACACCACACCGTTGATGAACACCTGGATAGATGCCGCCGCCGCCGTCGTCGTCCCTGCAAATAAATGTTCATCCAGTCATTAACCCCATAATCACAGATCAGCCTACAGATGATCATCAATTACTCTATACGAGTAAGAGTATATGTATAATGCAATATATATCTATGAGATTCCACATGCAATGGCAGCAATGCACAACACTGTTAATAAGAACACTGACCAGTCGGTTGGTAGCTCAGCTGGGAGGCGTCGTTAGCCGTGTAGCCGCAACGGTGCTGGTCGCCGCCGCGCGACATGAGCCCCATTTGCCGTGAGATGGCGAAGAGGTCGTCCCCGCCATCGATGTCGTCGCTAAACAAGTGGGGCGACGACGCGACCGCAGGCGGCATCGGCTCAACCGCGGGCATGCCGGCGGTGCGTGCCTGGCCTTGCCCGTGCATGGCGAAGAGAGAAACGCTGTCGTTTTGGCCGTGGAGGTTGCCGTCGACGGCTGCGGCGGCAGTTGGGTGCTGCGGGGCCGCGCCGGCGCTGCATGCCTGCTGGAGCTGGCGGGCGCGGCGGCGGGACCGGGAGCGGCGGTTCTGGAACCAGTAGAAGACGTTGGCGTCGCGGACGGCGCCGAAGCGCTCCAGGAGGCGGCGGATGCGCGCCGTCTCGTCTTTGGCCGGGTTCACCATGCCGCTGTTGAAGATGGACTCCAGGATCAGGATCTGCTCCGGCTTGGGCGCCCACCGCGACCTCGCCGTCGTTGGCTCGCCCTCGCCGCCGCGGTGGTGGGCTTGTGCTTGGCCGAGGTGGGAGTCCATGGTGGGGGTCTTGGAGATCGGAGAGGAACAGGGTAGCTGTAGCCTGGAAACGGTCAAAGCCAACGAGCTAGGATGAGACAGTGTTGTGGAAAGGGACGTAGGTAATAGAAGAGAAGCCAAGAGAGAAGACCGACACAGGGCAAACCTAATGGTGTGGAGGCATAATTGAGAGGGGTCTCTCCCTACTTATAGGGCTCCGTGTGTGCGGAGAGAAAGAGAGAGAGAGTTCTTGTCTTTCGTTTGCTAGCTATTATGATAATCGGATCATTTTGCAAGCAAACAGCGCAGGCAGTGATTATGCTTTATATTGTCATGTTCTGTGGAGGGGTGGTTAGTACATTTTGGGTGCCGCTAGTTTGTTTGAACTTGCATAATTTTAGAGGTTGTTTGGCATGCCTCATCCTCAAGTGCTCGTTAGGAGGAGCTAGAGCAGTTGAGGAGGAGCTGCAAATTGCAGCTTCTGCTCTAGACCCTAAACTGGCTCCGGCTCCTTTACTATTTACCATAAAACACTTTCTCATCCTAAAATGTTTAGTACGGCATATTTGTAGAAGTTGTTGCTAGAGCCAGAGGTGGAGCCGTGTGCCCGTGTCAAAAAAAAACCCTTAAATTATAGAGCTCATCTTCACCAACTATCGGTGCAGAAAGTGACCAAGTAGTAAATATTTATAGTTTTGTCGTACGTCGTGATCGGAGGTGGGCTAGCACTCAATGACACATGGTTTATACTGGTTCAGGCAACGTGCCCTACGTCCAGTTTGGGTCGGTCAGTGACTTTATTCCTGAGCCTAGGTGCTCGAAGTTTGCAGTGGGGTTACAAACGGGAAGGAGAAAGATGAGGTGTACAAGAGGTCCAGTTGGCTCCGGTCGGAAGGGCCGAGAGTGACAGGAGCTACGCTATGAGCTAAGTGTTCAAGCGTGTGCTTGAGGTCCGAACCCGGCGGTTCTGTAGTTGTGAGCTAGTGAACTTGATCGGTGTTTGTTAACTAAAAGGGCTCTCCTCTTTTTGGAGGGAGCGCATCCCGTTTTATAAATAAAGGGGATGGCTTTACAAGTGAAAGGGTGAGGGTACGTATGCTACTGAGCTTTGTTGCCCATGCCGGCGGGTACAAGATAATGGTAGGTGCCCACAACACTGTTGATGTCACTATAGAATGTCAGATGCATGTGGGAGGTTGCGTTGCCTTCTTCAGGAATGGTAGATGTCGGTACCTGCAAATATTGTTTGATGCCTAGAGGCATGTGAGGAGTTTCACCGCGTTCACCTGGTACGGTAAATCCCAGCGCCCACAACACTATCGATGCCCAGAGACATGTAGGGGGCCTTACCGTATGAGAGTTAATGGCACCCACAATACTGTAGAGAGAAATGTCGGCGCCTACAATACTGTTTATGTCAGAGCGGTTGCAAAGTACTATTCCTGTAGGCGTACAGGGTATGGTCCCTGGTATCGTGGTTTGACTTGTGCGCCCTGGCTTGCTTTCTCCGTTCATCCCCTGGTCCTTTCCGAGCGGGCGTCCCCGGTCGGATGGCCCCAGTCGGCTCTGGTCGCGCCAGTCAGAGAAGAGCGGTGAACAGGGTTCCTGCGAACCCCGGTCGGAGACGAGGGGTCGGAGTCGGAAGTAGTGCTTGGGCCAGGCCTTCCGATCGGAGAGGCCGTCCGGAGGCGGCTAGAGTCCGAAGCGAGCGCTCCAGTCGGAGAGGTGGGCCGAAGTAGTCGACGAGCGGGCACTGGTCCTCTTCGGCCAGACCTTCCGATCGGTGACTGGACCGCCCTTTCGGCCTGTTGTTTTAGACTCTTGGGCCGGCCCATGAGTTACGTGTTGTCTGCTTGGGCCGAACCTTGTCGTGGAACACGGTTCTCGAGGGACCCCGGGTTTATGAACCCGACACCAACCAATTCAGTTAATATATGCAGTAACTTGCCTTGCAAAAGGGATGTTTGTTTGTAATAGAAATTGCTACATATCTAGAAAAGTCAAAATAACTTACTATTTGGAATGGAGGGAGCTAGTATGTCTCTAAGCCATACATATGTACCACTGCAGTCCCTGATAAAAGCCACCTTATTGAAAATCAAGCGAGGAGGTCTCCCGCCATGCATGATCATCGACAGATAGACTAGTACTTAGCATTTCGGCAGCTCACTTCTTGTCGACTTTAATCTGATTCTAGAACTATGGATTTTTTATCGGTACTCAAAGGAAGTCACGAAACTCGATTTTTATAACTGTAATAACACATGGTATGGAAGTTAAAGTTATGGTGTATTTACGAGTTAATATTTGTATGCTTTGCATCTGCATTTTAATTCCATACAGGCTTCATAGGATATTGCCAACATTAACTTATATTTGGATGTCATGATCATCATAAAATAAATTATAGTTTCAAAATTTAATAGTAAGTGTAAAACATAAATAGACATGTAACATTCCCATTCTAGTTTAGCATGAATATTTGATAGTTTTTTTTCCTCATGTTACAACATACAGACATATTTGCTATTAATATAAACCTATTGTTAAAGAGCAAAGTTATTTGTTTCTTTGTGCTTTTTACTCCTTAAAGTGCTCTCACATCTCTCCTAATTTGTATTTCACTCGGACCTACAACCCATCCTCATACGAGTTATAATCACACATGTCATTGCCTGGTGCAATGATACAGACACCGATTCTAGTATATATTGAAACTGATGATATGACTATTACAAAAATCTCTGAGCCACTAGTCGTCGTTCTGCGCAACAAGGTTTATATTCGGTCGCAACGAACGTGCACATTTGCTAATATTATATAATAGAGATAATCATCATCCTTGCCCCAGACAAAGTAAAAACACAAAGAATTAGTGGCAATCATCAACACTAACAATAGCTTTGTTCATTGGGACGAGACACTAGAACGTGTGCTCGTGTCTTCATGGTGCCTACATATACCACTTTATCTTGCAGAAATTGGATCGTACCGTCCATATACAAATGATTATTATGCTGGTTAGCAAGTATTGCCTTTTGGAACTAATTAACATTTTTTCTGTATGTTGGGATGGTTTAGAATTAGCACGCCACAACAAGAATACCAGTTTCGCTATTCATAACTTACTATCAGTTTTTGTGCGCGCAACTACAATAGTAACTAGCATTTGCTGTTTAGTTGACTCCAACTTTGACCGTGTCAAAAGATGTGACATAAGCAAAATTGAACAAAGCTATATTTGTGTTCACCTTTAAAATGGACAGCCCACAATAAAATAATAACTACAGTTAAGAATAGGAGATTATATATATCACCTACGACATATATATTTGATGTTGAAAAGTAAAACCAAAAGCATATGTATTACTAGTCAATGTATTCCATTGCTTCTCTCTTCGATTTCTAATGATAATCCATTTTCCTTGATGGATCTATATATATGCTAGCCGACCTCGTACAGATAAGAATGAAGAAGCAGCCTCATTTGACGTGTAAAGTGAACCGGGCGGCCGGGAGTAGTACTGGGAGCCGAGGAGCGAACATGTGGGACCATAAAATTTTGCAGCAGGATCAAATGACCTCTCTTTGGGGAGCCAGTGGGTGGCCTAGGGTTTCTTATGTTGTTGGGCCGGGACAGGTGGGCACTTCGTGTGAAAAGTGAAGGACAAGCTTCCGTTTCTTTTGTTTATATGACAGTTTGATAGACTAGAATATAAATGCATGTGCAGGTTCGGACGTATGCTAAATTTAATATCCCTTGAATTATATATATATATAGGCTCCAATAATAAGAAAATATGTATATGGTAGGTGCTGTACTTACCACTGATGACTCACACACAGGATACATGCATACATATGTGATATGTGCTCATTAATTAGCTTATTGGTTGATTTGTCTAATCCACAGGTCGGTGTGTCGTCTTGTGTGCTTCTTCCCTCCTGATTCCTGTGCTCCCAGATGCATGAACCTGTCTAGCTATGTGCTGCCAGCAGCAAGCGTGAGAATATGAAAACCTAGGAGTGAGTGGCCAGATAAAACCCCCAGGCAGACTGTTTTTGTTGACACGGTGTAACACAATATGAGCATATATCACTCAACTTTCTTATGCTTCAGCCATATACCGGCAAAAGGCCGGGCTCGTGCCGCCGCCGTGGAGAGACCAAGAGTGTGCTTTATTTGGTTATAGGTGGATCACTATCGGAAACTGGGTGTTTGCCAAGTGCAAGATTGTTTACCGAGTACATTCTATCGTGCGCTCGGCAAAGAAGCTTTTTATCGAGTGCTGTAAAAAAAACACTCGGCAAAATAATTGCACTCAGCAAAAAAGGCAAAAAACACTCGATAAAGTTTGGCACTCAGCAAACCAGAAAAAAAAACACTCGGCAAAAGCTAGGCACTCGGCAAAGAACTGCCACATGGACATTCGTTAGTCCGTGTGCCGTCCGTTAGTACATTTGCTGAGTGTCCGTTAGTGGAAACACTCAGCAAACAAATACACTCCGCAAATGCGCCAAAAACACTCGACAAAGGTAGGCACTCGGCAAACAAATATGTTTGCCGAGTGTAATTACTTGGCACTCGGCAAATTATTTCATTTTTTTCTCTTCTGACCTTTAAACTTTTTCTACTCTCCACATACAACATGTGGTACTCCATGTTAAAATTTGGAATACTTCTGCATCTGTTTGCTATATTTAATTAATTAATTGCATTTCTATGAATTTTTTGGTATAAGTCAAATTTGAACTGCAAGTGATTCAAATAATAGAATAAAATGAGTAGAAAAATGATATTTATGTTATTGAGTTCAGTGTGAGGCCTTACCTGGGAAATGAAAAGAAATTTCGAACATCTTGTTCATAAAACACGACAACAAACGTGTGGTCGAATGGTTTTTAAATTCTAAAAAAAGCCAACGAAGTCTGAAAATCATGAGATTTGTCATGATGTGATGATATCATATGTGGAGGCTGTGGTAAAAAATTGAGAATGTTTCGCACAATTTCTGACGTAC